CCTTTTTTTTCTTTGTATGTTACTCACCATGTAACACTTTTAATCTTCGGCACTCATTAAATAAGATCTATTTGTGGGACAATACCCACAAAACTTTCACTTAAGCCAAAGTAAACTTCCTTACAAACCAAAAACGTCAAATCTGAATCTAGTACAAGTAACCGTGCAAAGTGTCTGGATATGCAAGATTTGTTTGTTTGTTTGTTTTGTTTTAGTTGGGGGGTGTTTTGTTTTGGTAAGTTTTACAGCGCTCGCAACTGCAGAAGGTCGGGACACATTAAACATTTTTAGTTTGGTAGGAATTAATTTTGAATTTTGCCGGCATGACGGCCGAAGCCTACTCTTATCGATTATTTTTGGACGGTCCAGTGCCAAACTTGCACACGGAACCTCCGAAAATGTTCACCCCTATCCGAGAAGGCTAGGCGATAGATCTTACCTATCTTAAGATCAGGGGTGTTGCTGAAAAACAGCAGTAAGGAGCCAAAGAGTTGCAGTAGAACAACTGCAGAAAGAGTCAGGAGCCCAGAGGAGGGTACAAAAGGAAGGGTGGGGTGGAGTGGGGGGAAGAAAATGGAGACGAAAGCAGACGACAGAAGGGAGTAAATTTTAGAGAAGAAAATGTTCCGTCGCTGTCTGGTTTCGAACCCTAGACCAATTAAATGAGAGGCGAACATTGTAACCTCTCGACGTGCAGCGTGTAGATTTCAGATGTAATCCATCTGATACCTAATAACTACACGGCCTTTAGTATAACTGTCCCCGTGGTTTGATGTACCCCGCATCTTAGCAAAATTTGATCATTTTTTGGTTAAATTCTGATTATTTCCCTTTATTATTTTTTGTTAAAATTTACATAATCGCATAATTTCACATTTTGGTGCTCAGTTTGCATAATTTCAGAATTTTTTTTCTCATAAAACTGCGGGGACAGGTATAAGTGTTCAAATCCTCACTTGATGACTTGGCTGCAGTCGGTCTTCAGTCCACGTATTGCTATGATGGCCGACTTGTATTCTATTGCTATCTTCAATATTGTGTTACCTCTCTGGGGTTACCTTTGGGGTTGATGGATCTGAGTTAGTTTTGCTTCAGTAAGAGTTTGACGGCACTTGAAACACGATAAGTTCATATTAAGTGCCGAAGACCAGATGTGTTACAAAAGAGTAACAAGCACAAAAAAGAAAGAGGAAAGGGTCCATTGATGTTTGTCTATAAAATTCCCCTTACAATTTATAATGTCTGTGTCGAAATTGTAGAAGACGACCACCCATTGCCGAGGAGAAAAGTTGTTGTCTTACTTAACCTGTGAGCGGGTGCTCTCGTGGTCTAGAGGTTAACATGTTTGTCTTTCATTCATTTGGTCCCGGGTTCAAATTCGGATAAGGACGGAATATTTTCTTCTCTAAAAATTGTCTTCTTTTAGAACTTGTACATCCTTTCCTACTCTCTAACAAAGAAATGTCGTCTGCTTCCGTCTCCACTTTCTGCCCCCACCCCCTCACCTCCTCTGCCCCCTCCTTTGGGCTCCTGACTCTTTCTGCAGCCTTTCTACTGCCACTCTTTGGTTCCTTCTTACTGCTGTCTTTCAGCCACACCACTGATCTTCTGGTAGGAAAGATCTACTCATAGCCTTCTCGGACAAGGGCGAAAAATCTCGAAAAAGGTCCCGTGCGTAAGTTGCGCACGTTAAAGATCCCTTGGTGGTCTAAAATCGATAACACTAGGCTTCGGCCGCTACCCCGTGCAAAATTGAAAATTTCCTGCAGACTGAAAATGTTCAATGTGTTCGGCGTGCTCATAATATGACCGTATGCAATTGCGAGCGCCGTAAAACACGTACAAAAAAGAAAAGACATGTGGGTGTCTTAGACAGTGTAAAGAAGTAGAAAAAATGCAAAAGAAAAAA